GTGTTCTGTAGTGTGGATAAGAAATTGGTGGTGTGGACCAGTCCATACCACACCTTGTGGCAAGGACCAATCCACACCACATTAGAGGTATGAAATGGCTCACAAGCTATGTCTCCCTCCCTTGGGCTAGGCCGGTTCAAAATTGTGCCGGCCACATCCACGAGATATATGTGTGGCCAAGATTTTGGGCTGTGGTCACAACCAATTGAATGCCATGGCCATCCCATGTCATGGACCTAAATGGGTCATCCACGATATGACCACGGTTCCAAACACCACCTTAAGAATCAAGAAATTAAGTTGATTTATGCCTCTTAGCTCTCACCCATGGCCATGTTTTTATGTCCATCTATGCAACTACTGGAACACCCTATATCAATTCCATACAAAAAAACAAATTCCTTCACATGGAGACATCAAAGACAAGGGTGAGAGCATGGTAATTAGAAAACTATGTTGTTTTAATCCACTTTTCCCCTTAAAAAGTTGATTTACCCAATTTAAAATAACCATCTAACCTAATTAGTATAATATATGTTATAAGTATGGCAAACCAATGTAAACAAATGATAGAAAAAAATTAGGAAAACCATTAAAGTTTAGGAGGAAATTAAATATGACCCAACTAATTATCTTTTGCAATATTTCAAGTTTTCATAGTCTTAGAACTTAGTTTGTTAACAAGAATAATATGACAGAGACTCGATCAACTTGGTATTTTAGATTCTCCAAGTTGACAGAAAAAATTTGGCTATCTAAATTTAGCAGCTTGGGCTATCAAGAGAGCTCAACTCATGTGACACATTGACACATTTAAGGGGGTGTCGGATAATATGGTTGGTTTTGTTTTGAAAATGAAAACAATTCATTACCAAAACTATATTAACTTTTGGACTCTTAAACATGTTAATTAAGTATTTTTCTAAAAATGATTCCAATACAAGTTGAGGAGATTAAGAGACTAAGTGGTAAATCTATTGGGTCCGCATCTCATAAGTCATGATAAGATGGAACAAAGGTCAGAAGATGCCTATGTGCTGATGTTTTATCTAAACTGTTATTGCGGGACCTTGAAGATGGACATTTGCACGGGGTTAAACTTGGGACTGGTGGAGTTGTGCTGAACCACATAATGTATGTTGATGATATTCTAATTTTTGGAAGGAGTACTATGCAGGAAGTCAGCCGAATTAAGGAAATTTTGGACATGTTTTGTTCTTGGTCAGGTCAACAAATCAGTTATGGTAAATCATCAATCTATTTTAGCTCTAATGTCCATAGACGTTGTCGCCGAATGTTAACTTCTTTTCTAGGGGTTAAAACAATGAGAGGTGACGAATTATATTTGGGTTGTAGTCTCCATGACATTAAGAGTTGTAAAGAAGATGGTTCGAGGGTGATTGAAAAGGCCAAATCAAGATTGGAAGGATGGAAAGGCCGTTGTTTGTCTCATGTGGGTAAGGAAGTATTGCTACGTAGTACAGTGTCTGCTCTCCCTACATACATCATGAGCACTAAACTGCTCACATCTTCCCATTGTTAGCAACTTACATCATTGTCCTGTGATTTTTGGTGGGGTTTTTCTATTGATAAGAAGCATTTATATCTGTGCAAGTGGACTGATATTACTACATCTAAATTGTTAGGAGGTTTGGGCTTTAAAGATTTCCATCGTTTCAATATTTCCCTTGTCTCAAAATTATGCTAGAGATTTTTGATTGAGCATTCCAATAAAAAATGGGTAAAGGTTTTAGAGTCCAAATACCTTCAACAAAAAAATTTTTGGATGGTTTCTTTCAAAAGCACAATGACTTATATTTGGACGAGTATGCTTAAATGCAGAACTTATCTTAAGAGTATTGCCAATGGTGTATTGGGTATGGTTGGTCTATAGATGCCTTGGCTGATCCTTGGTTGCCTAAACCTTGGACTACTCCCAGCATCAATTTCTCTCTCCCTCATGAGAGACTTGTACTACATGTGGCATATTTTATTGATCCTCACACGGGGTCTTGGGTGCATGAACAACTTTGTCGGTTTTTTGATCCCTCTACGGTGCAACTCATAAAGACCTTACCTCTACCAACAAATGTGGAGGAGATTGATGACAAGCTGGTCTGGACACTTACTCCTCATGGGAGGTTTACAACATCTTCCATGTACAATCACTTGTCAACTGATGATGCACACCACTCTAATGCATGTTATGCTTTTGGCACAGTAACGTGGAAGAGCTTTTGGAGTATTAAACATTTGACCCCACGGCTACAATTCTTTCTTTGGAGATGCTTAACAAATGCTATTCCTACTACTGGAAGATTGGCTAACTATATTACTAGTATTGACCCTACTTGTCGCTTATGTGGTACTGCTGTTGAAACCATTCACCATCTATTTTTTGGTTGTTCGGTGACTAGATCAGTTTGGTTTGCATCATGTTTAAACCTAAAAGTTGATGATCATATAGATTGGAGTCTACAGGGTTGGCTATTTGATTGGTTTAAATTTGACTCTTCTTTTAATGAAAGCTAATTATCATATTTTACTATTGCAAGCATTTTCATGTGGCAGATAAGGAAATCTAGATGTAATTTAATCATGAAAAATCGGGCATTTGAACCTATGACAGATATCTTCAAGGCCTAGTCCCAAGTTGAGGAGATTTGATGCTCTTTGTTGATTAATGAGGATATTTCTAATACTGCCATCTCAAGGCTGGATGACTCCTCCCACTTTTGGTAGAAACCTATCCCTCCTATATACAAAATCAACTTTGATGGTGCTTTATCGCCTTCAGATGGGGGTTTAGGTGCTTTTATTTATGGTAGATCCATTAAAGTTCCTAAAGCTTCTCTAGAAGAATTAGAAGCAAAAGATGCTCATGTGGCCCTTTTGTTTGCTTTAGATTTGGGGCTCTCTTCCATCATTCTTGAGGGAGATTCTAGAATTGTGACTACAAGTCTGTTGGAGTTTGGCTCTCACGCTCCTTGGCGGATTCACATGTTGGTAATGTGGCCGCTCATATGTTGGCCAAACATGCCCTAACAATTAATCACGTGCATACATGGTCTTTGTGTCCATCTTTTTTACACTCTGTTATCATTCAAGATTGTAATCATGAGCAGTTGAATTAATGAATTTGGTTATGAGGCACTCCACCTTATAACCTTTTGGCCTTCAAAAAGAAAACAAATACATTTTTTGAAGAAGAGGTGTTCATTTTCCGGTAAATGAGGGCATGTTAAAATTGGTGAGTCTCACAGAAAAAGAAAGAAATCGATGCTTATATTTTTGGTATTAGTGGGTCTTGCGGGAAAAATGATTCTCGAATGACACCATTACTTAAAATTTAGATAAATAATACCTTCTTTAAACTTGGATAAACAACTAATGCGTTTACCTACATAAACGATTTACTGAAAAATAAGGAAGCTTCCTATACGACCTAGCATCTGTTTGAAACCGTTGATGTTGCTCTAGAAAACTGCATTACATCAGTGCCATGTAAGAAAAAACGGTGCTCCAGAAAACAACCATCTGTTTGGAACCGTTTTTCCATAGAAAACGGTGCTCCAAGCCATGCCTTAGAAATCGGGAAGGCATTGCTTGGAGCAATGCCAAATTTGGCATTTCCTAGAGTTGCAGCTCATTGCTGCCAATAGGGCAATGATGTGGCAGTGGATAATGGGTAGAAGTGTAGCAAATATTTCCTGGAGCATTAGTACCAAACAGAAAAAATTGTTGTTGCTCGAAAAAAGTCCTACCTGGTAGCAACGATTCCAAACAAAAAAGGTACATGCTCCAAACCACACATCAGCTGCACCGTTTTCTCAAAAAATGGTGTTGCAACTACAACATCGATGCCAAACATATACCCAATCTTTCACCAAGTGGCTGATCCTTTGGTAAATAATTAATCCAATCTATCTAATTTATGTTGGTGGTGATTAGCTACTGTCCATTCAAAGTTCTATAAAACTTGCCCATAGGAAGCTTTCTTTAAATACACATAAATGGGTCCAGATTTACTGACAACAAGACACCTAGACACTAGCCAATCTTGAGTTAATGCCTCATCAACGTTTGTCCAGATCTGTTGAAACAGACGCTGGCCACTGGACCTTGCAACTCAGTTTCCCAATTTTAACAGACTGAGCTTGAGAACCATCCAAGTAACGAGTTTTGTTTTACTCCAAACTTGGTTTCTGGCCAGAAACAGTTAAATTGATCAATGACTTGTTGATTTGGGTGATCAAATCATCTACCCATTTGACCTATTTAATGGTTTTTTTACTATGTTGTTTTTAATTTTTTGTTAGGATGATTCATCCATTCAAACCAGACGATTGAACTATTGACCCATAAACTGATGGCAGAACGGTTCCGGTTCTGGGTCTATTATTAAAACATGGGTTGGGTTTTACTCTTACATTTATTTTTGATAGGTGGGTTTTACTCTTACATAATTGATTTGTTTTAACTTTTCATAGTGTAAAAGGCTGTGAAAATAGGAAAACGATTACAATGGCTAAAACATGACATGACGGCATGACTCCCCAAGGATCAACCAATGGATCAAGGGGTTTCACCATTATTCAATGGTTTGAGTTCCAGAGGTGTTCTTTTTGATGGTAGGACCCATTTTTGGTGGGTTATGACTGATGATCTTTTTACTCTGCATCTACAACAAATGGCAAGTTATAAATTAGGACCAAAGAAAAAGGGTCACGATGTTATATATCATCGTCATCATTATCATAGGTTAACCACAATATCTTATTTCTTATATCTCTTGTTGATTTCATCCCCTCTCCGTTGATGGTTGATAATTGATATAGAAGTGAAGTCTCAGATGTGGAGGTACAAAGAAGGAAAAAAAGGTAGTGATACATCATAAAAACTGCGATTTCAAAACTAAAACAGAAGCGTGTTGGCGAGAAACACATTGCATATGCCTCTTTGCAGTTCTTCTATTGGGACCTAATAAGAGAAAGGGAGAAATGCGAGAGGACGTGCTGTCCAGAACTTACGATAAGAAAGCATGGATTCTGAAGCGGGTGGTGGTCTCAGAGGAGACGATCTGTCATCGAACTTTTCACCCAAGGTCTTATTAGAATGGAGCAACGCCGTCTCTCAGTGGTAATAGTATCTTCTCAACAAGTCCACCCCACATGTTCTCAGGCGACGGATCGCATTCTCTGCCATCGCCACCATCTATGCCATTTGTGTCTACCTCATTCAAGGTTTTTACATCATCTCGTATGGGTTGGGTATCTACATCCTCAACCTCTTCATCACCTTCCTCTCCCCACAAGTTGACCTGGAGATTCAAGAGCTCGTAGAGGGGCCCACCCTTCCCACCAAGGGTTCTGATGAGTTTTGTCTGTTCGCTTGTCGACTCCCCGAGTTCAAATTCTGGTTGGTTGCCTTGTTGCCTTATTCTATCACTAACATTAAACTGTACTTTTGTGAATTTGGTACTTTGACCTATTAAACTGATCCCCGAATTGCTCCAATAATTGTCTAGTAACCGGTAGACGGAATTGCATGAACATGTGGTTTCTTTTGATAAATACATATTTGGGTACATTGTTAGTTCTATAACATGCTTTGTGGAATAGTTAGGTGCAGATTGTTCTCTCTTTATTGGAAATGGTGGTTGATTTTAGATGCCTTTTGATCTTTGATTGATCCACCACACCAGAAAAGGAATTTTAGCTTCGTTTGATTCATCCAATGATCGCAATTTTATGAGTTCCTTTTTAATTCAGTTATTCTTCTCATTCTTTTGAGGGAGGGATGAAGAACTTTAGATTGCTGGGTAAATTTTGTCTTACATAGAACAATAACGTTAACAATCGTTATTAGAGTCAAATTTCTTGAAAGGAGTATGGCATCTCTAAATTCAAAAGCCAGAAGCCAGAGTCCTAGAAAATAGTTAATAGCATATAGCAAAGAAAAATGATGCAATGTTGGTATATGCTTCTAATTTTCATGGTTTGCAATATCCCTAAAATTTGTCAATATTCCCCACTAAAATTTCTCATTTTAGGGTGCTATTAATATCTATCAATGAGATTTCAATAAGTATTCAATTTAGATAAAATACTCACAATACTTGTAGAAAAATAATCCATAATTCCATATGTTGATATTTATGGAAATATCACAGGAAAGAGATAAGAAAACTAAGAATTGACATTATGCGTTCATAGAATGTTGATCGATAAGCATGATGCAGCTACCTACTCGATATTAAGCTTCAACTAAGTGAACTAATTCCCATGCAATTTTCTATTTTGAGTTGTCAATTTTTTTTTCTGTGGTTTTATTACTACATTTTTTCTTTTTGTAATGCTTCCATCAAGTTGTAAATTTTTATGTTATCTGAAATTTCCATTCAATAATTCCCATGCAATTTTCTATTTTGAGTCATCAGAATTTTCCACAAAGTCAAAATTGTGATCATTGCTTGAACTAATCATTAGTTCACTTAGTTGAAGCTTAATATTGAGTAGGCAGCTGCATCATGCTTATCGATGAACTAGTCAATGATATAATCAGTATGACTAGTTGATGCTCTGATAACACTACACATTATGCAATCATAAGAAAGAAATGAACATGAGTGCATAAAAGATACTGAACTATGCACATTGTGTTTTCCCTCCCCCATCCATGTTTTGTTGCTTATGACAGTGTTTTAAAAGCGAAAGGTGCAAGGTGAGGCACACACCTTTTTGAGGCATGGTACACATTTTTTTGAAAAATGTTAAAATTGAAGGATATGATTAAAATATATACCTAAACTTCAAATTAAATTAAATGATTAATAGAAAACCTATTAATATGTCAATAACAAAAAAAATCTGAAATAATCAAATAAAACATCTCAAGTTCTTAAGTACTCAACAATCAACATTAAATTCAAAACTTCAAGCAAGCTGCAAGCCATTAATGCAATACAATCACATAGAGTTAGAATCATGTCATAAGCAATTTTCTTTCAAAAAAAAGAGAAACAATTTTCTTTCAAAAAAGACACATAGAGACATAGAGTCATAGATAGTTTTCTTACAAAAAGAAGAGTCAGACAATTTTCTATAAAGAAAAAAGAGTCTAAGGTTTTTTGCCATTCTTCAAGATTCAATTAGCATCTTCTTCATCTTCACCTGGAAGTTCAACTTCATCTTCATTGTAATTTGTCTTGTAGTCATCAAAATCCTCTTCCATTTCCTCTTCAACTTCAACTTCAACATCAACTTCTTCTTCCTCTTCTTCATCTTCTAATTGCAGTTGTCGTGGTCTTTTTCCACTAGCTTTTGTTGCTCTTACTTGTGAAGTTGAAGCTCTAGATCTCGTATACCTTAGTGGCTCTTCAACTCTAGAAGCACAAGTAACATCTCCCCAAGTTAGTGTATCATCATCAAACAACAAATCATTTTTTGCACCATCCTCATTGGTGTCTTCGGAAGTACATTGTTAAACACCCTAGAACACTAGTTTAAACATTTATAATTTTTATCGTTTCTCAAACTGGTCTTCACATCAGCTTTACAAAGACTGCACTTCAGCCTAGAAAATTTCCTAGTTTTCTACATAATTTGCACAGAGACCCTCAGAGGTCACATAATTGATTTTAACTGGGAAAAAAGTACACTTTGACTACTCTAAGGCCGAAAATACCCCTAAATTGATGCCCTTAAGGCATCAAAATGTAGAGTTATCACACCCCCCAACTTAAACATTGCTAGTCCCTTAGCAATGCAGCCTTAAAATTACACTAAGTATATAGATCTTTCCCATTACAAGGTCATCCCTAACAGAATTAATCAAACATCCTGATTCCAGCATTCTCAAACTCTATATAGATCGATATCGGGCTTTAGGGGTAAAACTGTCTTATTTTGAATATTACTGAAACATGGCTTAGAAATCTTATTTACCCTTCCATTTGCAAACTGTCTTGATAAGATGAGATTGGTTTAAAATCAAACAGGTATTCTTCTTATCATTTTTTACAACGGATTTCTACCCCTGAACTTGTTATGCATACCTTTCACCGTTTTACGCGAATCTCGACACTTGCCTTAGGTGAAGAGACCCGGTTACTAGGTCTAGGGTGTCCATTGACCTTTTATTCTTTTTTTTTTTGTTTTTTGCAACATTGTTCAGGGTAGTCCAATGTCTCTTAACAATTTAAAGAATTTTGTCTACTTTCTCAATCTTTCTCTTCCTGTCTTCACAAGGGCAAACTTAGGAGTATTTTTCAATTTCTAAACGATTTTGACAATATTCAAACAAGACCAATTTTGATTCCTATCACTTGCTACCAATTTCTACATAATTCAATATTCTTTTATCAGTTTCCTTAACTTTTCTATTTGGGAATCTCTTTTAATGGAAAATTTTAAAAATTTCAGTAAAATTTTAATTCTCCATCTTTAAAGGCTTAGCTTCACAATTTTTTTTTCAAATTTTCTTTCTCTTTCCTCATCCCCCAACTTAAATGCCATTGTCCCTAATAGCATGATTAGAATGATGCAAAGATGATTTGGGCCAAAGGGAACAACGAGTAGGGTTTTCCTGAGGGGTTTAAGGTATGCCGCCTGGTCTTGAATCAAGAAAAAAAAAACTCTAATCCTGAAAGTAACTGAAAAAAGTTACGTTGGGTTGCCTCCCAACTAGCGGTAAGTTTAACGTCTTTAACCAGATGCATTCACACACTGTTCCCATCTATACTCTCCGACTCACTTTCATCTTCCCACTGACAGGGTTTAGATTGGGCTAACCAAGGGGTAGATAGGTCATCCACTATATCTACTATGAATCCATCTCTCCCTAGGTCTGGATACTTGAAAGTACTAAAAACATTTAACTGGACCTTCTGCTCCCCAAATGAAATGTCGATTTCTCCCGATTTACAGTTAGTGTTTGCATCGACCGTTGCTAGAAACAAACATCTTAAGATTATCGAGATGTGGTTCAGTTCCTCGGTTAGGGTCATGTCTAGGATAAAATCCAATGGGAAGTGACAACCCTCTACCCTGACCAATACATCGTCAATAACACTTCGAGGATTGTTGACTGACCAATCAGCGAGTTGCAAAATTATTGGGGTTGATTTTAACTCGCCAATCCTGAACCTATCATAAATGGATGGAAGCAGATTTCTACTAGTCGTAAGATCCACTAGTGCCCAATCAAAGGTGATTCCAGTGATGACACAGCTTATGAGAGGAGCACTAAGGTCTTTCATGTTCCGGGGGAGTTGATTTAGGAAAGTTGCATTAACATTTGCTAAGAGCATCATTTTTTGTGGGGTCGATTGTGGCTCCATCATTTGAATATATAGTTCTTTCAAGAACTTGGTATCGACCGGGACATGTTGGATCGCATTGAGGAGAGGGATGTTAATATGGACTTCTCGGCTCTCCTCGTTGTGACTTTCTTCATTCTTTAGCACCGGCCCGACTGTGAGTGCAGTTGCAAAGGGAACTACAGGTTGGTTCACTATAGGCTCTTCTTCTAAAGTTTCATTTCCTTCTTCTTCTCCCCCCAACTTAGGGACTTCCTACTCCTTTTCTTCTTCTTCATTTTTCTTTTTCTTACACAAATCCTCTCACCCCTTAAGGTTGTAATAGCCTTGGTCTTTTCAAGCTAAGGGTCCTTAGGAGGTGGTTGAATTTGTTGTGGAGGAAAACCCGGTAATGATTTCTAGGGTTCGCAACCGGTTGACTCGGTAGTTGCCCTACTCCTTTTCTCGCCTTGGCTTCGACTAGCTGTCCTATTTGGCTCTCTAATCTATCAATGGGTTGCTGCTGATTTAGGATCAGCTACAGAAGTTGTATGAATTGGTCATCGATGGTACGGGTTTGAGGAGGTTGTGGGTAAGCCTGATACGGTTAAATCGGTTGGTTCCTAGGGTACACCTGCTAGAATGAACTCTGTACTTGTGTCCTCTAAAAATTTTGGGCCATTGAATTTGATGGGTGGTATTGCTGTTGGGACTGTGTATAGGACTGACATGGTTGAACCGTTTGAGTCCCAGGGTAATCATTGTACTCCCAACGAATATGGGCTTCAAACCATTGAGAGTGCATATCTAGCAGGGGGTTTTCTTGGACTTGTGCCCTATAATTGAAGTTGGGCTGATTTTCCCACTCAGGGTTATATGGACTAGAGAATGGGATATCATTGGGTTGGAAAAATCTATGGGCCACATGTACTTGGTTGACATGATGGGCTGGGCTTGCATAGATGGAACATGATGCATAGAGTGACAAGGTTGGGTATGGGCCACTTTGTTGACGACGTGCAAGGACTTCGTCAAGTCTTTGGGCCATACCATTAATCTTGTCTAGTTGTCGAGACACATGGTTCCAATCAATTTGTGGCTCAGGTTGGAAGTAGTTTCT